TGAGGCATGGGATGGCCTGAGTGAGGGACCTTTGGTGGTTTGCAGGCCAGCCACACCCCCAAGTGGAGGCCCTGGTATCTGGAATTTATTTACCTTCTACAATTGAAACTTTGTAGCCTTGAGCGGAGCCAAGCGTCCTGCTCATTCTGTGGCTGGCAGCCATTTCTGTTTGGATTTGTTTACCTTCTATAATTAAAACTTTGCAACCTTGAGTGGAGGCCTAGGTCAGTAAGGGCATGCAGAAAGCTTGGCTTCTCCATTGCCTGAAAAACCCAAGCCTCCCTCCTGCTCTCTGTGGCTGTAGCCATCTTGGTTGGGTTTATTTGCATACTCTCTCTGATTGACTGATGGGCGTGGCTGGTGGGCATGGCTTATGGATGTAGCGAAGTGATGGTTAATTTGCATATTACACTTTTATTAGGTAGGATTACTGCTTTATAAAAATAGGCAAGTTGGTAAGCCCACTGTATGGGAGAACATATTTGCAAATGTTATCACTGATAAAGGTTTAATCTCCAACATCTATAGACAGCTTATACAAATAAATAAAGGGAAAATGAATGATCCAATTAAATAATGGGCAATGGACCTAAATAGAATATTTTCAAAAGAAGACAGAAGGAAGGCCAAGAGGCACATGAAAACATGCTCAAAGTCACTAATTATCCGAGAGATGCAAATCAAAACAACAATTCAGTACCATCTCACACCTGTCAGAATGGCCAACATCAACAAATCAACAAATGACAAGTGTTGGCGAGGTTGCGGAGAAATAGGAACTCTTGTGCAATGCTGATGGGAATGCAGACTGGTGCAACCACTGTGGAGAACAGTATGGAGCTTCCTCAAAAATCTGAAAATGGAACTCCCATTTGACCCAGTAATCCCAATCCTAGGAATATTTCCCAAGAAACTAGAAACACCAATCAGAAAGGATATATGCACCCCTATGTTCATAGCAGCACAATCTACAATAGCTAGAATTTGAAAACAGCCTAGGTGCCCTTCAGCAGATGATTGGATCCAAAAACTATGGTACATCTACACAATGGAATACTATGCTGCCAAAAAAAAAGAAGGAATTCTTATCATTTGCAGCGACCTGGATGGAATTGGAGAACATTATGCTGAGTGAAATAAACCAGTCAATGAAAGAGAAATACCACACGACCTCACTCATTTATGGATATTAAAGAACATTATAAACTGATGAACCAAAAGATAGATATAAAGACAGTAACAGTAAAGCATCAAGCAGACTGTCAAATTACAGCAGGGAGGGTAGGGAGATCTGGGGGAGATAAAAGATCAACCGAAGGGCTTGTATACATGCATATAAGTACAACCAATGGACACAAAACTCTGGGGAGGGAGGGTATGTATCGGGGGGGGGGGCAATGTTAAAATATGTACACAGATAATAATTTAATAAAAATAAATAAATAAATAAATAAATAAATAAATAGGCAAGTTGGTGGAATTCCAGCCAAACTAGACCCAGCCATAACTAAGTAATGATATCTTTATCTAGAATCTGATGAAACTTTAGGCATGCTGAACTGAATGAAGGAGATGGACTGAGGGAGACACTACCTAGAAAGTGATTGCCATATACACTTGGACCAAAGCCTAGGGAAAGAAAACTGAGAATTTTCTTACCCAGGGTCAGGGCCTGGGTCAGGAGTAAAACTTAAAAGGCAGGCCTTCTGCTGCTACTGGGTGAAAGTGCAATGGACCACAGCTGGTGACTGGATGCTGCAGTCTACCAAAGTTAGCAGATTTTGGAAGCATGGAAATGTCCTTATTCCTAAGACCATCCCAATAAAAATCTTAGAGGAGCTTTGTCTAGGGTTCAATTAAGAAAGTAATGGATAAATCAGATCCACAAGACTGGATCCAAGAGATGGATTCAAGCAGAGGTGGTGAGAGGGTAATTCTTAACTCGTTTATATCAATATTTTTTGTAAGGCCAAGAAAAACTAAGCTCTGAAGAGTTCTTATAATTATTTAAATCTCCATCTTTGCTTTCCATAACCATTTCCCTGAAATTGAATCTTATAGAATGATTTGTTCTCTTGTCAGAGGGGAAAATAAATTAGAAGTCTAGTAGAAGTAGAAAAGAGAAGGCTGATTGGGCAAAGTAGAAGAGGAAAGGGAAGAAGAAGAGAAGAACCCAAGTAGAAAAAGAGTTGGTGATTGTACAAAAGCAAATGTGTTAATTTTCATGGGCCTGCAGGAGAAAGAAAGTAAAACTGGTCATAAGAATGGGAAGACCTTATGTATGCCCTGACACCTCACCCATCCCAGTACTGGTACTGAGTTACCAGTGGTCCCCTGCTCCATGTTTAAGACTTACCTGAGTAATGGGGTTGAGGCTTGGAAGGGCCCATATTCCTCCATCATAAACACATAAATTGTACCTTCCAAGTTAGAGCTTAGGGTCGTGGGAGTTTGCATTCAGCAATTCATGTTAAAGAAATAGTGAATGCCTCATAAGGAATAACAGTATGTTGTTTTTCAAAATTCTGTCTTTATCATATATAAATTTTATTTAAAGTAAGCACTGTAAATAAAACAGATACTGAATTTAAATAGTTCAGCAGGCATAGCCTTAAAGTAATGTTATATATAGAATGACTTAAACTAAAGTGTATTAATACCTTGTACCAAAGTGTACTAATGCAAAATGTATCAAAATATTGAGATGTATTAATGGAGGAACAGAGCCCAGTTGGTATGGTATCGACATATGAACCAGGAAGTCATGGTTCAAATCCTGGTCAGGGCACATGCTCAGATATTGACTCAATCCCCATTGAGGGGAGCGTGGGTGAGCAGGAGTCAGCCAACTGTCATCATTGATGTTCCTATCTCTCCCTTCCTCTCTCTGAAATCAATTTTAAAAACATTAAAAGCAATAAAAATATTTTTAAAGGAGGGTCAGAGGGGTAGATAGTTGGATATGATATATATTGTATAATCAAACAAGGATAGTAAAATGTTACTTCTATGGTCTCAGTTATTGCTATATGGGTATTCACAACTTTTCAGTCTGTATGTTTGCAAATTTTCATAAGAAACTGTTGGAAAGATTTTCTTAGGGAGAAAATAAGCTCTTTAAAAAGACAGTACACAGACACAAGATTTTTAACCTTTTTGATAATGCCATTAAAAAAAAAAGCTCACTGATTAATGAGATTGCTTTCCTTTATTTTTACCCATTTCTTTTGTCTCACTTGCCTTTTTCTCTTTGACAGTCTAGTGTAGCACAAATATTGGTACTTCATAAAGGCATGTTTCAATTCTCTATACTTAAAACTTAGGAGGAAATATACTATATGCCATTGTTCTTGTAACATATGCTAATTAGAGAAATACCATATCAACTATGAATATTTGAGTTGACTATATGAAATACATCTATTCACCACAGCACTTGTTAACTAGTTAACAACTATTAAGTAGATTTAATATGTCTCTCAAGAGTTTTTTTTTTTCTCTAAGCTAGACTTTAATAATGAGATGAAATCTAAAATACACTAATGTCCAGAAAAAGCTGCAATTAGTAAGTGATAAAATGTATGCATTCTGTCTTACTGTGGGAGGTGTTCTTGTGGACCCCATGAATGTGGTTATGGACATTTAAATTTTAAACCACTCCTCACGGCTGCAGTGAGTGCTCTGCAGTGATTGGGAGTTTGAATTAAGGGGGGAGGAGACAATTTTTACCTAACTCTTTCATACCCACCTCTCCACTCCCAAAAGAACCTCAAACAAAACATAATGAGCTACAGAAACTGTTAAGCCATGATTGTCTGAGATTCATCCAAATTAACCCCTAATAGTACACTTTCACAGCTGGTTATTTTTCAAAATTACCCGCAATTGTAGTGATCTATGTAGATTTTTGCACCTATGGTTATCCAGAGCATTTATAAGTAAGATATGTTCATAAATAGTAGAAATAGTTGTTAATAATACATTACAAGTTATCTAGTGAACTTCTTTAAACATACTATGTTCATTTACATTTAGTTACTTAGAGTTTAAAAAGAAAAGTATATTTAATTCAGGGAACTATTGGAGCTCAAATTTTTTAAGTTAGCAGATCTGTAAGATAATTTTTTTTCTTTTTTTATGGTAAAACAAGTGAATTTCTATATTAGCAAGTACTAACACATGATAAGTGATAGTGGCACTTATATTCTAAAGACATAAAACAAACCCCTTATTTTCCAACAAAAGAAAGTATAAATATTTGAATCATAAAAACTATCAGCTTCAAATTTGCTGTTACCAAGTTAATGCAATTAGTTTCTGAGTCCTCAAAAAGTAACAAACCTCTGATTTCCAATTATTCTTAGATAATTTTAGGATGCCATTATTACTTAAATATCAAACATGGAAAACAGCTTGCTCACTCAGTGATTAATTACCCTGCTCAAACTTTAACTATTGAAGAGATTTAAAATGCCAGAAATTATAAAAACCCTTTGCAGATTATCCAGGCTATATTATTTTTTCTAAGAAAAAAAGAAAACATTTTTGGCACATAGACAGTGGGCTTGTGAAAAGCCCTTTGTCACTCACAGCCAAACCTCTTTCTGGAAAGATAAGAAAGACAGTTGCAGTATTAGAAATGTGAGCTATCTAAAGAAAACAACATGGTAACATTATTGGTATTTAGCGAATTGCCTACTATTTTTAAACAACTACTTATTAAGTAAAACTGTTTTCCCATTTCCTTTGAAAAACATTAAGACCTTGAAAGTATTTTGATAAAGAGAACAAAAACTATAGTTAAATCACTTTTTAAAATGCCACATTTTCATGTGTACTTAGAAAACACAAGGGGGTGGGGAAAAGAGTTGTTCATTTTCCTGAGGGTAGTGAGAATAAAAATAAGCGGACAGAAAATACAGCACAGAAAGCTTATACCCCCTGAAACAAGACAACGAGGAGCACAATCAGTTATACAAATGATTAGAAATACAACTTACCTCCTCTGACAAAAGCATTTGTGGGGATGCAGGAAGGGGGAAAGCCAGGTAACAGATTAAGGAGAGTCTATCAGAGCTCGGAGTCCCAAGCAAAAAACTCAATAGGAGACAGGTATGTTTCTCCCCAAGGATCTTCATCTCTCCAACATCACACCTTATTCAAACTTCAATCACCTGACTAGTGGGAACCCACTTACTGTCTTCATACTACTGGGAGTGATTCCAGAAGCCACCATGCCCATTGAATGTTTATAGCCTGTTCCCAGCGAGGCTTTATGACCCATGCCACTCTCTCAGGGCGGCAGAGCTGCCCTGGGATGAAGCGTGCAGCCTGGCAGAGAAAAAGTTCTCTTTAGGTTCGACTTCCGCTAGAGAGCAAACAGACACAAACAGCCAACGCTGTCCCAAAGCATCGCTTAATCACTCGATCGCACATACACGCTTTTAATAAAGGCTGCCCGAGAGCTATTACAGGTGTGACGTTTCCATCGGAGAAGTTTTTAACACTTCACACCAGGGCTTTCAAAAAAGACACCAGGACACCACTTTCATCTTGGCTGCATTTTAAAGCTCCTCTCCCAGGACAGAATCTCCCCTCCCTTCCAGTAAACACATGCTTGTACATATTAAAATAAAGAGGCTGTATAAATTAACGTGAGGATGCTCTCTCGTTATAAACGAATCCACCCCAGACCCACGACAGGCTCACCATTTCCCCAAACAGGCTTTTGGGGTATAGTCTTTGGGGGAAACAAAACAAGAATGCAAAAAAAATGCAGACCAAACAAAAGAGACACAGTAACCCAGGTCCTAGGAGAACGCTCTCAGCTGGGCTTTCCCGGAAGGTGTCACGCACACTGCCGCACTGCCGTTCCTGTGCGAGAGAGATCCAGGGGGCGAGGCGTGGTGACAGACAATGGGCGCTAACACCACACGGCCAGTCTTAGCAAATTAGGTAAATTAGAGATCATTCGATGGCATCCTATTGTTGCTATTGTAATCGCAGTCATTCTCCCTCCTGATGGTGCTTCATGATGAAGTGCGGTTCTCACAGGATAATTGGGAGAGATACCGAAAGATGCAGGGATGCAGCATCTGGCTTTAACAGCTCTTCAGATTCAAATTGGCATTTTACTTTATCTTGAAAATTTATTAGAGATTCGGATCATGCCGGTTTCGGGTGGCAAGGTGAAAGCAGGGTAATTTTACTCTATGAATTATTCAATCTCAGCCTGGCGAAATTGCCATCCATGAACCGAGGCTCTGACAGTCCCTTCACAGAGCCTCCATTACGCTTGTCATTTTTATTTCTTTATCTACCATCTCTTCCCCAGTTACCCAGCTCGTCCCTGAGGGCTCAGCTTCACAAACCAAAGTAGCTCGAATTGGCAATAACCTAAATGTGCTGCAGTCTCAAATCGCTGTCTCCACAGGCTGTCTTTTTCCCCCCAAATCATTAAAATCACATCCATGATGATATCTGTGAGGCTGTTCGATCGGATGAATTCACACACACACACACACACACACACACACACACACACACACACACACACGCGGGCAGCACCACTAACATCACAAGAGAAGATAAAGTGATGCTTCCTGCTTCCTTCTTTGTTGTCAGCGTGACCCGTCCTAGTGCACAGCAAGCATCACGCAGACCGGAGCCAGGACTAAAGCAGGCTTGCCTGGCACCCTGATTTGCAGCCAGAGCAGATGAAGCCTGCACGGAAGGCAGACTAATCCAGACAACTGTATACTTAAGCGAGCACGAGTGTTTAGGAAAACAAGAAGAAGCCATCGGATGACCGAAATTAGACTGCCTTTCTCCCGGGCTCCACCTGCACCCGGGCTGCAATCACGGGCACTGTCCACTTGATGGCTGGTTGGGTCACTGCTAGTCGACAGCTGTCCCTGCATCCAGAGAGGACTGGGAGTGATTTAGGTCAGTGAGTCTGGCTTCGCCTTGAAACCTCAGAGTTCTAACTGAGCACCGGGGATCTGCGCCAGCTCCCGGACCAGCCTGAACCGCGAGCTGTGAGAGTCGCACAGCCAGAGCGTCACTTCGGTGGAGGTGCCCGCACAGGCCCCAGCCAGACCCATGGTGGCAAGCAGCGTCTCCTTATTCCTGCAGGTCTGGTGGCCTGGCATGAGGAGCCCCCGCACCATTCCCACCAGTGGTGGGAGACCAGCCGCGCTCCGCCAGGCAGTTTGCACAAGGCTCCGAGCAGGACCTGCTCTGCTGGAAATGCACGCTGCCAAGTGAGAAGCCGTCCTGTGCATGCAGACCGCTTCTCTGCTGCTGGCTACGCAAAGGTAAATACTCCTCATGTGAGAAATGCTAAGTGGTAGCAGGAAAGAAAAAGAAAAAAAAACACACTTTAAAGCTCTGGCGCTTTGTGTCTGCCTTGGCTCTGCCGCATTGCGACCAGGAAACTGCAGGACCGGAGCTCCGGCAGTTGCGATGCTGCAGACAGCAGCAGCTCTGACATGGCAGTCAGCTGACTGGCAGGGTGTTCCCCTTCCGTGAACTCGACAGAACCAGGCCAGTGGGCTAAGTGGCAAGCAGACAGATGACCTGGATTGTGAAGCGTGGCTTGAGGAGGACAGCCTCTCTCCGTCCACACCTGGCAGCGATCCTGCACACCTGGCTGGGACATCTTACATGGCTTCTCTCTCAGGCAGCAGTTTTCACCCGCAGCCTCGGGACTTAACTATTTCTGTCCTGCTTGCTAAGGTGGCAGGTGATTCTTGGGGTGACCGCACCAATGGGAAACACAGGTGGAAATCATCCCAGTCCCTATCGTTTTGGGTTAGTGTCAGTGTCAGAAGAATAATCATGGGAGAAAGAGTGCCTGTCCATGTGTTTGTTTTAAAAGCACACTTTTTTTTTTTTTAAACAGGTAGAAATTGCCTTAAGCCACCAGCAGGCTATAATCAACTGGTAAATTGTACTAATGGAATGGCAAGAGCGATAGGAAAAACTGGAAGGTAAATTAGTCCAGAAGTAACCTTCAGTCATGGTCTGGTTGCTCTAAAGCAGTTTGCTCTATTGCAAACTGTAGGCTGTGCATCCCAATTAATCTAACAATGGAGAGAGAGCCTTAGATGGCATTACCCCAGTGAGTTGAGGAATGCTAAAATAAGAAGGCAGTCATTACCAGGCATTTGTTTAATGACTGTAATCATACGGAATTAATTTAACTTGCTGCAATATTTAACCGAAAGTCAATTATAAATTTGTGCTAAAAGAATAACAATACAAGAATTTGCATAGCACCTTCTTCCTAGGAGACATCATCTGAAGGCAGGCTCACATCCCCAACATGTACAGGGCACTCAGAATGCGCTAAGTGCTCCCCAGAGCAATTTCCTGTCATGGCCCGCCTCCCTGCGGGCAGGAGCTTATGCTTTGAGCCTGGACGGCATTAATTGTATGAGTAGCCCACAGAGGATGACCGCATTGACCCAGACCCGTCCCTCTGTGGACTCAGGGATGCTTTTTCCCATTTGTGTTTTGTGGGCTTCACGAATTTTTCCATTTGCTTCCTATTTGGTTCTCTTGACATGAATCCTGCTCCAAAGAAGAAGTTTGTAGATGGCAAACGGAGGGGTCAGAACTAGATGAAAGAGCATCGTCTGCACAATTATAAAAGTACTGTGAGTGTTAAGCAACATTTAAAGGAAGGACCGATCTACTTGGAGGCGGTGGGCTGCAGGAGTGAGCTTAGGCCCTGGCTGAGGGATGGTTCCTGGAGAGGGACCCTCATAGGCCACTCTTCTTGTTAGAGAACCCAAGGCTCATAGATCCGCCTTGCTACCTTTTCAAAGCCTGCTGTCAAGAAATGAGTTCCATATAATACAAATAACCAATAACTAATTTTTTTTATTTTTTAATTACAGTAGACATTCAATATTACATTGGCTTCAGGTGTACACTATAAAGGTTAGACATTTATATAACATACGAAGTGATACCCAGGCAGTCTAGTACCCACCCTGGCACCATACACAGTTATTACAATATTACTGACTATATTCCCTATGCTGTACTTTACATCTGCATGCTCATTTTGTAACTGCCAATTTATACTTCTTAATCCCTTCATTGTTTTCACACAGTCCCCAAACACTCTCCTCTTTAGCAACCATCAGTCTGTTTTCTATGTCTATGAGTCTGTTTCAACTTTGTTAGTTTGTTTTGTTCTTTAGATTCCACATATGGTGTTTGTCTTTCCTGTCTGACTTATTTTCCCTCTGCATAATACCCTCTAGGCCCATCCTTGTTGTCACAAATGGTAAGATTTCATTCTTTCTTATGACAGAATAATATTCCATTTGTATATACGTACCACATCTTCGTTAGCCATTCATCTGTTAATGGACACTTAAGTTGTTTCTGTATCATGGCTATTATAAATAATGCTGCACTGAACATAGATGTGCATATATCTTTTCAAATTGGTGCTTTGGATTTCTTTACATAACAGTGTGATTCCCCAGAGGTACTTACATTTTTTAAGAAAATGAAGCTTCTTGAAAAGGTACAGCTATCTAATTGGGGAACCTCAAGCGCCAACTTTCCAGGTGGGAAATCATTTCTGAGAAAAATCATTTCAAAGGGACCTTCATAGATGGACTGGGCTCATGGTGCCAAACTCCCAGTGTTGTAGGTTAGCCAGCATGTGCCACAAATGTGGTGGTCAGTGTAGGTCACTGGAGCAGCATATATTCTGGAGGCATCTCTCACCCTCCACAGTACATCCCACCTTTGATTATGAATTTTCTCAGGTCTTGCCCACCAACGAAAAAGTGGCCCAAACATTGGTATTTTTTTAAAAGCCATGGCCAGTGTGGCTCAGTTTACTGGAGCATTATCCCAAACACCAAAAGGGCAAGTACCTAAGTTGCCAGTTATATCTCATCAATATCCTCTCTCCCCGCCTCCTCTCCCCCCATATTCTCTTTAAACTCAATTTTTAAAGTGCTGCACAGTGGTTAGAGTGCTGGCCCTCATATGGAAGGGTTGAAGGTTTGATCCCTGGCTCCAGTCAAGTTGGGTTCTGGAAGCAAGCAATTGATGCATTTCTCTCACATCAACATTTCTCTCTCCCTCCCTCTCTCCTTTTAATTCTCTCTCAAAAAAAAAAAAAATCAATGGGAAAAATAACCTTGGGTGAGGATTAATAGAAGAAGGAGGAGGAGAAGAAAAAGTAGGAGGAGAAGGTCTTAAAATTATATATATATTAAGGCCTGGCTGATGTGGCTCAGTTGGTTGGAATATTGTCCTGGTCAGGGCACATACCCAGATTTCGAGTTAGATCTCGGTTTGGGGAACATTCAAGAGGCAACTGATTGATGTTTCTCTCTCGCATTGATATTTCTCCCTCTCTTCTTCTCCCTTCCTTTCTCTCTATAATTAATAAAAACATATTCTCAGGTGAGGATTAAAAATAAAAAAGCATCCCCAGATAATTAATTCTAGTACACAGGATGGACTACTAATGGTGAAATATGCAATATTCCTTTTGCACATGTGAATTTGTGGTTAGAAATTCAAAAATACTGTATGCATTTTTGTTGAACTCAAGAATAAAATATATATTTATAAATCTTTAAATGTATTGATCTGTACTTTTAGGATTCTGTACAAATCAATAAAAAGCAATTGATTTGTTAATAGAGAAAATCTAGTCCAGATGGTGTTGCTCAGTGGTTGAACCTTGACCTATGAACCAGGAGGTCACTATTCAATTCCCTGTCAGGTCACATGCCTGGGTTGAGAGCTGGATTCCCAGTAGGGGGTGGGCAGGAAGCAGTCAATCAATGATCCTCTTTCATTATTGATGTTTCTTTCTCTCTCTCCCTCTTTCTGAACTCAAAAAAAATGTTTTTAAAAAATAGAGAAAATCTCGCCGAAACCGGTTTGGCTCAGTGGTAGAGAGTCGGTCTGCGGACTGGGGGGTCCTGGGTTCGATTCCGGTCAGGGGCATGTACGTTGGTTGCGGGCACATCCCCAGTGGGGGGCGTGCAGGAGGCGGCTGGTCGATGTTTCTCTCTCATCAACGTTTCTAGCTCTCTAGCTCTCTCCCTTCCTCTCTGTAAAAAATCAATAAAATATATATTTTAAAAAAAAAATAAAGAAAATCTTGCCGAAACCTGTTTGGCTCCGCGGTAGAGCGTCGGTCTGCGGACTGAAAGGTCCCAGGTTCGATTCCGGTCAGGGGCATGTACATTGGTTGCGGGCACATCCCCAGTAGGGGGTGTGCAAGAGGCAGCTGGTCGATGTTTCTCTCTCATCGACGTTTCTAGCTCTCTATCCCTCTCCCTTCCTCTCTGTAAGAAAAATCATTAAAATATTTTTAAAAAATAATAAAAAAGAATATGGCATGTGGTTATTACAGAATGGAACTCCGAGAAGTAGTACAGATGCTCCAAAAAAAAATAAAAAATAAAAAAATAGAGAAAATCTGCGTAGCTGTGATACACCCACATGTGCTCTGCAGTTGGAAACAGTGTAGCCAGCAGATAGTCCTGCCCTCTCACAGCTCCTGGTTTCTTTCTCTCTTCCAGTACTGACCACCTTGTGTTGAGACCTTTTGTTCCTCTAATTCCTCCTCAGTGGATTTGTGGGCTCTTCCAGGGCAAGGGCACACCACATTCCTCTTGATGGCCCTGGACCCTCACTCTGCCTGGCAGGTGGCATGTCTTCAGTATTTGTGAAAGGAATGGGGAAATGCTAAAGGGCGCTTTCCTGTTGGAGGAGAAAGCACAGAGATAGCCAAGCTTCCAACACCAGAGCATCAAGCTCTGTGTGTTGCACTGTGGACTATACTTCCCAGTGACAAAGACATGCTAATTCTCAATGATAAATATTGACTTAACGTCTATGTAGCAAATAATTTTTAAAGGGCATGCATATGAAAAAAATGAGGGACATGCTTTTGAAAGTCAGTGAAAACTCTCTATGTATTTAATAACTAATCAATTTCATTTAATTTTAGAGATTTTTTTTTTTTTTTTTAGAAAAATGAGACATTCTTTGCATTTTTGAGAGTGAAGCCAGTGAAGTGGTGGCTCTCCGTGCCTTGGTTAGAAAGCTGCCCTCTCCAGCACAGACAAGGAAAACAAATTCTGTTATCTCCATTTTATACTACACATTCTTTTTGGGTTTTTTTTTTCAATACTGAATTCTCTGGCAGTCTTGTGAAGTTGGGTCACTTCTCAATAATGCCTTTATATGCAAATGTAATACATAGGATATGTACCTATTAAGTAGGATTGCAAAGGAAGCTAATTGTATTAAACATCTTAGCTTTAAAAACTTTGCCATAGGAAAATAATTCTTCCAAGGTGAAATTGCAACGTGACTTTGGTTGTCCCTGTTCCAACTATTACGAAAAGAAAAATAGTTCAAGAGGAGCTTAGACAAGATAAAGAGCTGAGAAAGAAAATAGATGACTATATTTACTGAATTTCAGTAAACATGAAATGGAATGTTTCTTCTCAAAAAGTGATATTTTCAGTGACCAGCAGATTCCCCATCTTCACGTTTAAGAAAATATGCTCTACTTTCAAAGGCTGCAAGTCTCATTTTACATACCCTTCCTCATGCTTTGAGGTGGAGGGAAAGTAAGGCAATTTATTTTCTCAAGTTTTGTTGTGAGGGAGGAAATTGAAGCTCAAAAATATTGAGCATGTTAGCAAAAAGGTCCTAGAGCCAGGATAGAAGTCTCTTAAACATACATCAGGCCACATCCTATTACATATTTAGTCAATGATTTGCAGCAGTGGGTAGAGGCTGGGTACTAAACCACTGGCAGATGGAAATGAACCATAGTGGGAATATTTACATCATGGGAATGAACAGACACTGAAAATCAGGGCTGTTATATGTTGTTGTTGTTTTTCCTGGGGACATGGTTTACATGTAATGTATTTAATGATAACAATTTCTAACCCATAATCTATCCCTTTATTTCTACCCCATAATCCAGAATATAAAGCACAATAGTTAAGCATAAAGCTCTTAGGTCAGAGGGCTTTTTTTTGGGTCCTATACCATTGATTATCTCTGCGATCATCTGGAATTCAACTTCCTTTTCTGCAAAACAGGGCTTATGACTACACTGTGCTCACAGGTTGTTATGTATATTCATGAAGTGGTGCATATGAACACTAGCATGGATTCTTACTCACGCTAAGCTCCCAATGGGTGTGAGCCATGATTCTTTCCCTCTCTATCTTCCTCCTCCTTCTTTTTCTTATTCAATTGGTCATCCTGGAAGATTGACATGATTTGTACTAAAACAAAGATTTTTCTAAGAAATTACAGACAAAAAGCAAAAATAGAAAAACTATAAACCACTTGGGATTTTAGAGAATGAAATGTTTGTTACCTTATGGTTCCCGATTCTTGTGGATAATAGAGATTTTTTGCATAAATTCTATAATCTAAGAGAGCATCACAATTCAGCAGAGAAATTATTGGTGAACATAGTTTCTGGGTGATTTTAGAGATTTTCAAGAAGCCAAATTAAAACCATACATTGTATTAGGAGCCAATATATGCCAAACATATAATCAGGCCTCTTGTTACATAGCCCCACTTATGAATATGTTTTCACTTGTGGAGCCTAATGGCCAATTTGTACACCTGCTGGGACCTACCATATTTTTCAGAGCTAAGAATTCTCCCATTGCCCTAACTGGTTTGGCTCAGTGGATAGAGCGTTGGCCTGCGGACTGAAGGGTCCTGGGTTCGATTCTGGTCAGGGACATGTACGTTGGTTGCGGTTGCATCCCCAGTGGGGAGTGTGCAGGAGGCGGCTGGTCAATGTTTCTCTCTCATCAATGTTTCTGACACTATCCCTCTCCTTTCCTCTCTGTAAAAAATCAATAAAATATATTTAAAAAAAAAAAAAAAAAGAATTCCCCTATTAATGAGATTGAGCTTTGGGGGAAGAAGCTTTATCCAGAGGTCCTAGAGGACTTAGTCAACAGAGGCCAATGAGTTGGAATATCAAGTTGGCTCTGTCCACTGGTATAAGTCAGTGAGTTGTCTTCTCTTCCCCTTTCTGTTGGTATTGGCATGCATGTGGAATGGGTCTCATGGATTCTGTCCCATTCTTGGGCCTCTCTGCAATCAGAGTGCTATTGAACATAGGACCACTGTTATAGAGAGAGGCTAGAGAAGCAGCTGAGAAGAAATGGGCCAGAACCAACCTCACTACCACTCATCCCAGCCAAACCACAAAAGAGTACTGTAATGCTATCACCATAGTACCCTAGGCTCAAAGGAAGTATAAGAATAAAGTCATGCAGTGTTCACACACTGAGTGTTATAGGCAGCACTCTGTCAGTTCAAAGAGAGGTCAGGTCACCAACTTCTCCTTGTTCTGCCTCCTTCCATAGGTTGTAGGTCACTGGGCCCACCTACTTTGTTCTTGCTCATTTCTGAAGCTAAAGGTTCACTCCCAAAAAATGGCATCAGATGTGACAACAGTAACTTGTCTAAATAGCTAGGCTGTAGCCTAGGAGACATCAATCTTCCTGACTCTGGAAAAAATATATAAAAGCCTAAGGGACCAAATGACCAAACGACCGAAGGACTGGACGACCGGTAGCTATGGATGCACACTGACCATGAGGACGCTCAATGAAGGAGCTACCCTCTGGTGGTCAGCGCACTCCCACAGCAAGAGTGCCACTCAGCTGACCAACCCATCCCGGTGATCTACTAACCCAGTGGCAGCCACTCACTCCCTCAGTAGCCCTGCAGGTCCAATCTCCAGAGAGGGCCAGGCACTGACAGACTGGCTTTGCTGGTGCCACCAGCATGATCCCAGCAATGCCACCGGCCTCCAGAAAGTCAGCCTCTGGCACCACAGTCTTCTCCCTAGACAGTCTGCAAGGAAGAAATGATACAAAAGTAGCCGCCAGGTGGCTTCCAACAACCGGTGTGAACATCAGTGGAATGGATCTCAGGCCCATAAGGGCATTCCACTGCCCATCGGAGGAAGGGCTGATCATGGATGGTCTCCTGGCCCCTTTTCCTCCTTCCTC